GCTGGCTGTCACCTTGGCGACCGGAGCTTCAGGTAATCCCACACACAGGAGGAGGGGGCGGAGGCGGAGTCTGTTTACTTCACATTTACTGGAAACACAAACTCTGAAGATGAGCCTTCTCGCTTTTTAATGAGCTCCTGAAAACATGGACGAATCTGTCAAAACGATGAAGAAATTATTATTATTATTGTCTCTTACCTCTACTACTACTACTGCTAATGATAATAATAATAATTATTATAACATTAATACAAAAACTCCTTCACCTGTCCAAATCTCAAAAGAAACTTTTGACTTTAGCCACCTACCTGTTCATTTTTGTGAGTGTTTAAAAAAATGTATTAAATATTTTATGTAATAATATGATATATATATATATATAAATATAAAGGTCAATTCTGAGAAATATCAGAGGACATGACATCAAGTGTAGCTACAGCCCCAACAGTTATTGATGCCTTTCAAATTGAAACTCATCGTGTTCACTTTGACCAGACCTGTAAATATTTCAGTTTGTTTTGATATATTTCAATCTAGTTTTCTTTCACTGCGAGTGCAATTTTTTCAATTCTGGTTGAAGACTTGAAATATAAAAATGTAGCCTTCTATAATTATTTAAGTTGAATGAGTTTCATACTTCCTGTCTATGTTTTGGTGTGTCTCAAAGTAAAACAATCCATTCGACTTTTATTGTTACAGCTGGGTATCATTCATACACCATTTTTCCATACCTAAGTTTTAGCACGTATGCCTTAACTACGCTTCATTTTATTGATAACTTAATCTGAGAAATATATATACATATATATATATACATATTCAAAAGAAGCCAACATTTTCAAATGCTAAATGTGTTTTTGTCTAAATAAAAAATAGTCTAATTTTTATTTAGATTGGGATGTTCAAGTAAAAAAGAATGTGAAAAACAGCTCCAGCATTACGTACTGAACAGCTTTGGATCCTTGGAACTACAGACACATTTTGGTCGGTACCAAAAGAATATTGAGGGTTGATGCCCAGCCCTATTGAGTGCTATTGTCAGTTAGGAAATATTCAGCAATGGTCCTATAGAGAAGCCATGCCCCCTTCTGGATGAACATGAGCTTGAGGATACCTGTTAAAGATGGCAAAAACAAAGCGTTCACTGTCGATGGATTAACTGTCCGCCATCCAAAGTTAAGATCAGTCAAAAATGTCTTCAACTTCACAATAATATTCCATCATTATATCATCATGATATCATTATCTATACCTGTCTGCCCACCTGTCTGTCAGGGTGGTGTGTGTTGGTGGGGACGGGTCGGTGGCGGAGCTGTGTCACGCTCTGGTCCTCAGAGCTCAGCTGGATGCTGATTCTCCAGAGAAACCAGTGAAACCATTGCTGCCACTTGGAATCATTCCTGCTGGTGAGAGAGAGGACACATCCTCATATAGAACCAAACACTGTAGACCAACATTGGGCAGAAACACATCTATCCACATCAGAAACTGCCAGACGGGGTGTTTTATCAACTGTCTGTCTGTCCATTGTTACAGGTTCTACAGACGTGGTTTCCTGTTCTGTTCATGGAGTCAGAGATCCAGTCACTGCAGCCCTGCACATTGTCCTGGGTAGGTTCTACCTGTTCTTCTTCTGTAGGTACAACATCCTAGGTCTATGGTCACATTGGCTACGGTGGGTTCTACTTGTTCTAGATCTATAATCACATTGGTTTTGGTAAGTTCTACCTGTTGTGTGTCTAATGTTACGTTTACCTGTTGGGTATAGTTGGGTTTACCTGTTCTACATCTATAGCCATGGGTTACAGGGTAGGTTCTACCTGTTCTATGTTTAGACTTTTGTCATCTTGGTTGGACTCTACCTGCTGGCTCTCTTGGTTCTTCCTCGGTGGATTGTACCTTTTCTACATCAAAAGTTGTGTTCTCCTGGGTGGCATATACCTCTTCTAGCTTAGTCAGGTTGGTGGGTTCTACCTGTAATAGATTTACAGTCACATTCTGGGTCGGTTCTCTCTGTTGTGAGTCTGTTTGTATTGTCCTGGGTGGACTCCACCTGTCCCAGACCTACAGTCACTATGTCCATAGTGGATTCTACATCTTCTAGTTCTAAAGTCGAGTTGTACTGGGTGGCTTTTACCTTTTCTAAATCTACCATCACATCGTCCTTTGTGGGTTCTACCTGTTCTAGATCTGTAGACACATTATATTGACTGGGTTCAACTTGTTCTTTATATATTGTCACACCATTCCATGTCAGGTCCATTTTACTTTAGATCTATAGTCGCTGTTACTCATTGGGGTCTACCTGTTCTAGAATGATCTACTAATAATCCCTGATGGGTTTTGCGTTCTCTGGACAGTCACATTGTTCTGGGTGGGTTCTACCTATTCCAGATCTATCGTCCTTTGTAGTTTCTACCTGTTATAGATCTATATTCATGTTATCCTGGTGTGAGTCTACCTGTTCTAGGTCTAAAGTTACCTCCCCATCATTGTTACGATTTACATTACTTCAAACAACTCACAGGGAGCCAATCAGGAGCTTGTGTTCTTGCTTAGCTTTGCCGTGATTGGCTGATGGTCACTCAGATTGTTTGAGAACAAACAGACGCACAGACTGTGTGACTGGACTCTGGAGGTGGCACACAGACAGATGTCTAACAGCAAAGATCAGTTTAACTCTAAATCACAGGTTTGCTCTGCTCACTGTAGCCCCGCCCCCTTCACCTCTCAGGTAAACCTGCCGACTAATCAGCTGGCAGCGGGACAGGCTGCTGTGTTTGAATGACTGGCGGCTCGTTAGGTTTTGTGAGTGTGTGTGACAGATGGGAGTATTCAGTGGCACAAATGAGACTAACTCCTGAACAATAGAAAACAGTTGAAGTTCCCAGGCAGGAAGCTCTTCCCACAGACACAAAGGGGACTACAGGTGAGTTCAGGTGTGTTCACGACACAACATACCTGAGCTGTAACTGGCAGCACGTCTCTCCTGTCTGTACGGTGCGTATGAAGCTACAGCCAGCAGCCAGTTAGCGTAGCTTAGCATAAAGACTGGAAACAGGGGGAAGCTGCTAGCCTGGCTCTCTCCAAATGCAATGTAATCCACCTACCAGCACCTCTAACGCGCAGTAATTAACATGTCGCAAAATGTCACATTTCTAAAATGACAATTCACCATTTTACAGTTGGTTATGTTCCAGACTATGTTTTGGTTGTAAGCAGTCGCCACGACAACCAGTGGAGACTCCATGAAGTTGCTTCATTGGGTAAACCAAAAAGGAAGCCAAAGCAGGACAAAGTATTCAATTAAGATCAGTCAACAGACAGAAAAGTATGATTTTTTTTTTTTTTTTTGTAAATCAAACTCTCCAGTATATTTTTTACTTGCAAAATGAACATTGTTTACAGCTTTAAGGAGCACTGCAGGTTTGATCTCACTGACACACTGACTGTGAGACTGAACGTCACACACACACTCACACACACACACACACACACAGACAACATGCCATATGGAGAGGAAATCAAATGCTATCCGGAGAGACAGACAGGCATTCAGTCAGACAGACAGGTGGGCAGAGAGCAGTTCAGTAGGTTACAGCAGGTATGTGGCCAGATGGCATGGTGTGTGTGTGTGTGTGTGTGTGTGTGTGTGTGCCTGTGTGTGTGCGTGTGAGAGAGAGAGAGAGACAGAGAGAGAGAGAGACTGTAGAGCATCTTACTGAATGGTCTTAATTGTGAAATCAGGTCAATGAAGTAAATTACATTTACAACACCTCAATGATTGTGTGTAAATAAACAGTGAAAAAATCATAGTAATATGTCAACTTGCTGAATTTAGTTTTCAGTCAAATCTTGGCCTTCATCAGCTCAGGTTTCACGTTGTTTCTGTTCTTATAGCATTTAAAGGGTTGCTGTTCTCCGGCTCAACAAGAGAGGGAGAGAGTGAATGAAGAGAGGGAATGAAGAGAGGGACTGGCGTTTTTATTGTTTCAATGAATGTTCTTAATTGTTTTTAAATCTCCTTTTCTTTTGCCTTATGTTTTGATGCTTTTAATGGTTTTATGTGAAGCACTTTGAATTACCTTGTTGTTGAAATGTGCTATACAAATAAACTTGCCTTGCCTTGCCTTGCCTAGAGAGAACAAAGAATAATAAAATGTTATTTTTTGATTGTCTGAAGGTGGTCACGTTCTAAAGCACAAATAAACACATCCATATTTCCTCACAAACCTGCGGGAAGGTGCCACATAAAAACACACAGCGATGTAACAATCCATTCTCCGCTGCTTTGTGTCAGACGCTAAAGAATATTGTTGTTGAGGGATTATACCTTTTAAAAGAGAATTTCAAGATTTCAAGTCAGAATCATCTTCCTGCTTTGGAAAACATTAAAGGGGACATAACATGCTCATTTTCAGGTTTAAACTTGTATTCTGGGTTTCTACTGGAACATGTTCACATGCTTTTATTTTTCTCATCCTGTCTGTCTAAACCATAGACTGTGTATAAGAAGTGGACGTAGTCATCGTGACGTCACCATTGGTTTGTGGACTGCCGTTTTGAAGCCTCGAGATCAGCGATTTCGCCATCTTGGATTACGGCCGTTGCCATGTTGTTTTTTTCACAACTAAAGAACAAAAGTTACCATATGTGGAATGTGGAGGAGTGATGTAGAGACACTGAATATGGCTCTGGTAGAGGCAACGACCTGTCAATCACAGTAAGCCCGCCCTAAAGCATAGTCTGCGTTATGGTCTATTTTACTCTAACTGGAACATGATGCATGAGACATAGGAAGGGGAGCCACATCTGAATGGCGTGTTGAATCACATGTTTTCTGATCCACAGCCCACAAAAAAATGACTGGGTTGTCTTTTTTTCACAGTTTGAGGGTTGGTAAGCACTCTAGATACCCAGATGTATGTGATCAAGAACTGGAACGTGAGTTTTTCATGATAAGTCCACTTTAAAAGGAACAGATTGTCTTTTAATCTTCGTCTTTCACTGAGTAAGACACATTTGTCCTAAATCTGCTGTAAATATCCTTTGCATTGTGATGCCTCAGAGACTGGACTAATATATAGATATAGAGCCATGTTGGTTAAACTGGAGCAATAACAACCAGATTGGTCACTCTACTGCAATGTGATTCCTCTGAGGTTTATAGATATTACACACACACACTCCTGACCTCTTTCTGTGCTGCTTCTCATGAATATTAATGAGCTTCTCACCATACGACCACTTGGCCTTCTTACAGGCTGTGTGTGTGTGTGTTCGCGTGTGGAGGGTCCTAAGTTTTCCTAATAAGTATAAATAATTAAAAAAAATAATCTTTCATCCGTGTTTCTTCCCCCTCCACCTCTGTCCGTGTGCAGGTCACCTGCAGCAGGTGGACATGTGCAGCTTCTCGTCTCTCGGTCAGTTGGTGTGTTTCGGGTTCTCCGCCATGTTCGGCTTCGGTGGGCGGAGCTTAGCGCGGGCGGAGAAGAAGAGGTGGATGCCGTCGTCACGGAGGCGAGAGTACGCTCTCGTGAAGACGCTGGCGAGGCTGAGGTCACTCACACACACACATGTTAAGACCACTACAACAAATTTTGGATATTATAATTGTTCACTGACTTGAATTCAGATTTGAATAAATATGTCACTACAATTTAAAATATTAAAAAGTACACTTCAGCCATGCTAGCGGCGTATTGGATTTGGTATTTGATACAAATAGCCAATACATTTTTGCCAGACATTCATGTCCTCTTTGCCAATTGGCAAATGTTAGCATGCTAACAGGCTAAACCAAGATGGTGGACATGGTAAATATGTTTGTACCGTCATTGTTAGCATGCTGATGCTAGCTTTTAGCACCACTGTGTCTAAGTAAACCCTCACAGAGCTCTTACTCTGGTTCCTCATTCCTCGTTTTCTCTTCTGTCTCCCTCAGGCCAGAAGACTGTCAACTGTCTTTTCTACCAGCGAAGAAGTCAAACAGGTGAGAAACACACACACACGACATCAGCACTGTGTAAAACAACGCAGTTAGGTTTTGTTTTTAAGACTTTGTAATAGTGGGCTCTGGTGATTCTTTACCTCAGCGGAGCTACAAACTCCGAGGGCGTCTTCATTCACACCAACAATGTTGTTTTGGTGCACTAAGACTTTAATGCACTAAGACTCTACTGTAGAGAGATATAGCGTTTGTGTTTATACATGTCATATTGATTCTCTTTAAGCAAAACTGTCTTATGTTCAAAACTAAATTAGATCTCTTTTCTCAGAGACCAGGACCCAGAGTCAGGTGAGACCAATCAGGACAGGAGATTAAAAAACAGCTGGTTCAGATTTCCCTCTCTGTCGACCCAGTTTGAATTTACAGATTTGTTTTCTGTGATTGGTCGGTACAGAAGTGGAGGAGTCTTGGACCACTAATCAAGGCCTGTATCTAAGCATCAGCATCATGTCCATCCCCTGTCTGAGTCCACACGCACCCCGAGGACTGGCTCCCAACACCAGGTACCTGACAAACAGTTAATCCTTCCGGGAATGTTAAAGTTAGCCTTGTTGTGACCTCGAACGCACCACAGGTTTATGTCACCGTGTTTCTGCTCCTGAACGTACTTTTCCACTCCCTGTTTGTGACAGTTTGGCAAATGGCAGCGCGGCATTGATCGCAGTGGGAAACACTTCCAGGTCAGAGTTCATCAAACATCTGAAGAGATACAGCAGCTCTAGTGGACAGGTGAGAGCAGCTGTCAATCAACACCCTCTCAGTCTGTACTCTCCAAACAAAATGGAAACTACTGCTTATCATTTTACAGTGTTATTTGGGATTTAGGGATGGGGTTCGAAAATCAAGTATCGAATCTTCTTATGGAATCCAAATTCTTAGGAATCTCTTATCAGATCTCATTAGATTTACCTTTCAACATTTAAAAGTATCTAAAGGCTTGAAATGTGTCGAATCCCTTTTTCTTGGCAGAGGGGGCAAAAACACAAACATGAAATGTTTATTAAATGTATCTGACACATTTAATTAACAGCTGTAGTAAGCGATGATATGAATTAAAGTTAAACTGGGTGATTCTTAAAGCGGCTGTAATCACTATCTTTTTACAATAGCACAAATGTGTTAAATGGCAAAGTGAAAGAGGCTTCACGTAGTGATGCACTCACAGAGAATTATCACAGGAATCTGACATACTAACACAGTATTGATGTTAACAAATGAATCAGACAATGCAGTTCATTGAGAGTTGTTGTCTGTCTTTAAAGAAAGTCCTGAGTCCTTTTTGTCTGAGACCGAGACAAGGCAGAGTAAAAATGCGATTGATGACAAGATCATTTCTCTAGAGACGAGTCAAGACTCTGTTGGTTCATTTTCAACTTAAAAAAATAAATAAAACACCGTCCACTCGTGGTTGTACAGTGTTTGGTGTTGAGAGGGATTTCGCTCTCCAACAATCATCAGGCTGAATAGAGACACCACCTGTAGAGGACCACCTCATTAACTCGACAAGCTTTTCACTTTAAACTAGCAACAGTCAGCTAAAATGAGATGCCAGCTACCTGGTTTGACAATTCCAGGTATTTTGCCGCCCGGGAAGCAGATCCAAAATGGAGCCAGCTGTCCGAACTCATCCCTAATGCGGGCTGTGTTGTGTCACTCCTGACATCGCCGTCCTTAAGCCTCCACCTCTCAAAGAGATAAAAATAAACAAACTAGTTATTGGTGAGTGGATTAGCCTGGTTCGGTCTGGCCTGGCCTGTGAGATCGCACACTAACCCACTTACTAAATATACTGAGAGCGTGGCGTTCCCGTCCTCCGGAGTAAACAGGCTGTTTACTCGCTGACCTACATCCTGTTCGCCTCCATCCAGGTGAAGAGACGGACAGCTCACAGTCAAACACGACAAAACGGGTGTTACGCAGCATTTTACAGTCGTAGTCTGTTGAGGTGGAGCTCATTTCTAACTATTTTATATCAGGCTGCAACAAATTATTATTAAAACAGTGAGAAATGTCCGCCGTTATTACCAAGAGCTGATAAATGAGACCTTTACCGTTGTCGAGTCTGACCTACAGTCCAAACCTCAAAATTATTTAGTTTATTCTAATTTAAATTTTAAAAAAAGCTGCAAATGATCATAAATAAGAAGCTAAAACTATTAGACACTTTGCATTTTTGCATGAAAAATTGTCACTGAATAATTAATCACTCATTTAAGCTAGATACCATAGCATATACACCGCATATATCACATTTTAAAAGTTCTTCATGTTTTAACAAATTAACATAGTGGGGTCTAAAGTAAATTTCGCTGAGAAATATAGTGGAGTAGAAGTATAAGGTGCCACAAAATGGAAAATTTGTACTTAAGTACTGTAGTAAATGAAGACATTACACCACAAAAAAACAGACTTTAAAAACTATCAGCTTTATTTTAATAAAGAAAGAGCAAACCTGAGGAGAAGACAGGACACAGAGCGACAGCCTGTCTTTCTGCCTGTCTGTTGGTCTTTGCTGCCCCCTGTTGGAGCTTCATGGTGTTACACCAGAGACTGTAACGGACAGCGGATAGGAAACAAACCCAGTCACTCCTCCAGATAATCAAGCTTTTTAACGAGCTTTCTATCCTCCTTAGCTGACCTTTGACATGTGAAGACACAAACACACACACACACACACACACACACTCTCTGTGTCTTGACTGATTATCTGTCTGCAGTTCAGCTTCTCATTCGTGGAGACGCAAGTCGTGTCAGCGGTGAGGATTTGCCCCCGCTCTCTGATTGGCTGGTCAGAGGAGGAGAGTGAGGAAGAGGGCGAGTCCAAAACCTCGCCCATCATCCAATCAGAGGGAGCCGCCTTCCCCTGGAACATCGACGGAGAGCTGGTGGAGATTGCTAACGAAGTGCTTGTCAGGTATACGTTGTAAATATAATTTATTATCATATTATTATGATTTATAATGCTGAGTGAAACAGGGGCGCAGCTAACGATTCATTTAAATAACAATTAACCTGCCAACAATCATATTAATTAATTGATTATTTGTTTGGTCAGAAGAAAGGGAAAAGTTTCACAATTTCCAAAAAATATCCATAGTGATGTGTTCACATTTCTATCTGTCAATTGAAGCTAAATAATAAACTAAAAAGTAACTAGAGACATCTTGCGATGGAGTCAATGGTGGATATTTGGGGTGTGGGGCCGGGGTCCTTTCCTCATTCCATGCCCCCTACTTCCTATGCCCTTGCTCAGACCACAGCGATCTTGAACTCAACCTTCATTTAGATCTCAACTACAGACCTGTGAGGTTTCGTGACTCTCAGACTCAGTACAATGCACCGGCAATGTCAGTGCCACGGCTGGCAATCAATACCAGTTCAGCTTATTCATTAAATAATCACTCTATGTCATCTTAAATGGTGACTGTGGCTAAGTGGAGAGCAGGGCCGCCCTTCAATCAGAGGGTTGGTGGTTCGATCCCCGGCTCCGGCTCTGCTAGTTGCATGTCGATGTGTCCTTGAACAAGACACTTAATTCAAAAATTGCTCCTGTAGCTGTGCCTACAGTGTAGAAATGTGACGGAATCTGAATTGTAAGTCGCTTTGGATAAAAGCGTCTGCTAAATGACTGTAGTGTGTGTGTGTTTACATGGTGCGTTCAGGGTCCACCCGCAGCTCATCACTCTGTACGGGGAGGAGGTGAACGAGGCCGAGTCGACCGTCTCCTGCAGCTGCATCTGAGGCCGGCAGAGGACAAAGACACATCGGCATGGTAACCACACTGACTGAACAGTGCCCTCTCCATGGCGATGTCAACTTACGTAGAAAAAAAACACATAAAAGTAGCGGCTTTCTGTTCACATATGATTGAGGTAACTTCAACCTTTGTATTAATGTTTTTTGTATAAGTTCATGTTTACATTTTAATCACCAGCTCGTTTATTAATAATATTGATATTTTTGTTTTTTATTACATTTTTCATTTCATTTTGTTTTTTCATGAACAATTTCTGTTACTGCTGCAGAGAGCAAACAACATCAGTAGTTGAAACTATAAACGTGTGAGCTAAAAATAGTTCATACAATCCAAAATTGTGAGTATTGATTAAATAATAATAATAAATGTTTGTTGGTGATAGTCGAGCAGCTTTCTGGTCAGATGAGAAGAACCAGCAGACTGGATGAACTTAAAGTGTCCAAAGACTGTAAAAGTTAGATATTTTAATATAACAGAGCCGTTTGTTTTTGTATTAGAAACTCTTGCAGTTTTTTAGTGTAACAGCTGCAATCATGATGATTTAAAAAAAAAAAAAAAAAACAAGAAAAAGTTTAAATAGAAAACCCTTAATTTTAATAGAAAAGTTTTGATAAAAGCAGTGAGAATCTCCAGTGCAGAACAACTTCACATGAAAATAAAACAAACTCATTTATTAAAATATTAATTAACACATTAATATGTGTGATGTGCATTTGTACTAAATATATAGAACAGAATGGAGGGTGGCAGCTGTTTTAACTGTCTGCATTCACAAAATACAGACAGTTAAAACTGCTTTTGAACATTCCTTCAAGTAGTCATCCAACCCTGTGGCTCTGTGACCCGACAAGCTGCTTCTTTTACTGAGATTTCACACCGATAGTTTAGTCCGGATCCAGATCGTCCATCGCCATCTTGGCTTTTTTGCATCCGATGAAAGTAAGTTACCATATTTGGAATCCAGAGGAGTGATGTAGAAACACCGGATACGGCTCTGGTAGCGGCAGCGACCTGTCAATCACAAGGTACCCCCGCCCTAAATTATACCCTGCTGTATGGACTCATTTTCTCATAGACTTCTATACAATCGGACTTCTTTTTGCAACCAGAGGAGTCGCCCCCTGCTGGTCTTTAGAGAGAATGCAAGTTTTAAGACACTTCCGCATCGGCTTCACTCGGTAGAACCGGAGGTTGCTGCCTGATCTGGATTAACCTGAACCAAGTGGTCCAAGATCAGTTCCAGTGAGACTGTGGTACATATGCGTTCTTACAGGATTTAATTTTTCACGTAAAGCATCTTTAAGCGTCTCAAAAAGAGCTCTATATGTTAAATGTATATCCAAACAAGCAGAAACTATTGAAGCCTTACTTGATGTCACATGGTAGTTGTACTTTGGAGGAAAGTGGAAGAGAAGTGCTCATTTCTGTCTTCGTGACACCTACAGGCGGTTCACTACAGTTGCCTTGAGAGCAACTCAATTATCAGCCTCCATTGAATTGAAGTGATAGTGCCACGAAATCTCACTGACCGGGCCTTGAGAGGGACAAAAACTCAAAATAATAAGGTAAAAACAGGCTGAAGTGACACTGTGAGGATGTTCGGCGTCCATTAAAACACCCTGTACCAGCACATCCCAGCAGCCATCACTTCTACTTCTGTCTGGACAGCATGCAGTGTGTCCGCTCTGTGTGTGTGTGTGTGTGTTAGCAGTGCATGAAGCGTTGGTCAGCAGGTAAACAATAATGTACACAGACAAAAGGGAGGGTTTTCCAGAGAGCTATGAGCCAATCAGAGGCCAGGTTTCCATCACCCAACATCGAAGGTCATCAGAGTCACTTCCTTTGTCCTTTGATTAGTTTCCTCTTAAGAGTCAAAATGGCGGTCATCGATAACTGTCCTCGATGGGTTCCAGGAAGCTTCGAGGCCTTCTAAGAGGTGGTTTCAGGTTCACTTCCCTTTTTTATTTCATCCTCCGTCCATCGCTGCCATCTCTTTAAGTCTTTATCATCTGTATTTGTGGAGGCACATCCGGCAAAATAGTTTTGAAAGGTCAGGTTCAGGTGTGTTCACTGGAGACATTTTGTCACCCATCTCACTGTCAGGTCTGTGATGAAACCACCTGACTTGTTGAGAGTCAGATCAGCTGACTTGTAATGGACAGATTTCATTGGCTGATGATGCTCAGCAGCAGTATTGTTCTAATGTTTTAGACAAACTGGCTTGCTATACTTTCATAAGCAGCACTCCATCCATCCGTCAGCACAGATGTCTCATCTCATTGGAACTGTTGCACAGTCACAATGTGAACGCCTTCATCCTATGGTCAGAGGTCAGAGGTCGTGGCCAGAGGAGGCAGCCGGCGTTATGAAGTGCTCTCTCTTTTGTCGTTTTTAGGGACGTAGTCCCAGCTATCTCTCTTGAACTCCTCCTCTTCTTCTTTCTTCTGGAACTCCCTCTTAAAGAAACCAGCCTGAGAAACACACAGGTAGTCAGACAGGTGGACCATTCAGTACCATTATATTATGATACACTGGAGTTTACCAGTACGTTATATTAAAATATACTTTATGGTAAAAAAGATATAGTGTATATAATTTACCTTCCACAGACACCAGATGAGAGCAGCCAGGATCATCAGACCCAAAACTAAACTGACCACAATGATGAAGACTTTCACTGTTGTTGTGGGTTTCTGGGTAAAAAGAGCTTCTACCACCACCTGTAAATGTACCACATACAGTATATGATTACTGGGGACAGCTAGAATATAGATAGACGTACAGAAATGGAGACACATTTCCAGGTTGAAGACATAGATGAGCTCTTGCTTGACTCTACAGCGGTGTTGGGTCTTGACTGGTGTCGAGGTGTTTTACCTGCGCTGCAGGTTGTTCGGTGATGAGGATGGTGTGAGGACCTTCTCTGGGATTGGACATCGTCGCTGTGCTCTCCAGCCTCATGACACCGTGACGCCCCTGAGAAAGACATCAGGAGTTTTTAATCCGTTTCTTGAAATGCATTTGAGTAATTTCTTGAACTTAAACTTCTTTTCTTGTTTTTGTGTGTGAATGAATTGTTTGTGAGTTATGCCTTGAGGGACAAATACAGTATTGGTTGTTCAACTGAAACTCAACACTTCCTGTAACTTCCCTTAATAAAACCCTTCCCACTAAAGAAACTGAATTTGTTTTTGCTGCTTCAGCTACTGCAGGAAGCGCTGAGTTGCAGTCACTGAGCATAGATCAGCTGAGGTTAGTTTGGATCAGTTTTACATCGCTTCTACGCAGGCTGCGTCGTGAAAGCAGCATGTTGGCAGCCGCTTTGTTCCTTGGTCTGTGTCCACAAGGGATGCGTTCAGGCTCAGTACTGAGTGTAGGATACCTGCGTTTTGGCATCAGTTAGAGTCACACACACAACCACTGTAGTTACACATGAGTTCATAAAGTTTGAGTTAAAAGAGAAATCTGTGTGTGTGTTACCGGAGCTTGGAGTAGTACAGCAGGGTTCAGTCTAATCTCCAGTTGGATGAAGGCATCTCTCCCCGCCTCCAGGTTACCTAGACGACACACTAACCGCTCACACAGCTCATCGCCACGGCCACAGAACTACACTCACACTCACACACACACACACACACACACACACACACACACACACAGAAAAAGACTGAAGTTCAAACACTATAGACCAGTGGGGTGGTGACCGTTGACTCCATCTCAATATCTCGGCCACAAATGATTGGCCATGCTAGCGCTGTGTGTACCATTCTGCGGGTGGAGGTGGAGGAGAAGAAGAAGACGAGCTGTTTGATGAAGGAAGCTTGAGGCACATCACAGTCCTCGAGGACTGAAATAGTCATGTCACTGATCGAACACACACCGTGAGACGACTACAGGGAGAGAAAATGTATATATTAATATTATATCCACAAATTAATTTACCATGATGTGACAACTACTACTGTACTACTACTGTACTTCTAATACTACAACCACTACTTCTACCCAATCAGCAACCACCATGGCTGAGTGTTCTGACAGTTGTCATTAAATGTCCAGACGGATTCTTAGTCTTGTTGATTTACTCTTTGAAAAGATGTTTCCTAAATACTGTATTTATTTTCCAGTTTAAAACTATTTTATTAAGGCAAAGTTCTTATTCAGCTGCTTGCTTCTTTTGTTCAAGGCACGATGAGTAGATATAAATCCTCTGTATCTGCAGGAGTCCCTGCCCTCTGGTTACATTTTCTTATTTTACTATGTTCAAGGCGTTTCTGGACGTCAACCTTTATAAAACCCTAGGTACCAGGTGCCAGATCGTAAGCTCCAACAAGAAGCTACAACAATGGCTGACACAGCGTCAAAACGTTCCAAAACGTTCCAAAACGATCCAGCTCTACTTCAGCTCCCACCTACTTTTCCAAAAGTTTCTCTGGCTCCAGTAACCGACAAAGATGGCAGCAAATTGTAAACTCAAACATCGGCAATTGAAATGTGTCTTCAGAAAACCTGCGAGGGAGCTCAAATACACTGCAAATAGTTCTTATACTGACTGTGCTACGTCTACTTCAGTCACTGCTGCTTGTGTTGCTGCTGTTGCTTGCGCTGGACGTACCTGCCAGTCCACCACCTGCAGCAGTCTGTGTCGGTTCGGTGTGAGGATCTTCGGTAGCGCGATGTCAACCACAGTATCTACAGACCTGCTGGGACCAGAGTTTAACACCTGCAGACAGACAAAACAACAGATATACCAGAAGAGATCAACAAAATGCAAAAAGGGAAGTGAAATCTAAGATGTTTCCCCTCTGAATTGTAGTAGAGTAGAACTATAAAGTAGTATTACATAGTTGCTAATTGGCAAGCAAGCTTATTAGATTGGTCGACGACGGTACAATAGTTTCACATAGATCAAAAGAGGTGTTGTACCGTTGACGTCTGCTTCATATCCATCCTTCCTTTGTGCAGTTTACAACCAGAAGAGGGTTAAGTAATACCTTGTATGTGTAGTTGAATCGTTCAGCGTAGCAGTCAACCGGAGTTGTGTCTTCATCTCCAAACACAAATGAGGCGGGAGTCACAAAACTGCAGGACAGACGACTGTCAGTCAGTGAGGGGCTACGCACTAACAATGTTGTTCTCAGCCTTGGTGCACTATAGCGTGGGCTCCAGCTGTAGAAGTCTGTGTTAAACTGTGAATTTGACGGCAACACTCAATCCAACAGCTCAGCATGGCAACTTAATCCAACTGTCTGTCAGTCTGTCTTCTCACAAAGCAGAAAGAAAACTAAACAAACCTTGGACATTAGTCCGAGCTAAAAACTAGAAAAGTTTAGTTAAAGTAAAAACATTTAAAACAAACTAAATGCTGAATGTACATTCATTCCCATATTCCAGAATAAAAATATATTTTCTTGGCTTTAATATTCAGATTTTCTGTTTAATGCTTCTGTGAAAGCTACAGCAATAACGATATGCAAACGATCCCATCAGATGATAGAAATGGCTGTCTTGATGATTAATCTGATGGATTTAATTTGTTTTTTAGATTACGTTTTATATAATTATTTTATTGCTTGCTTGTTTCCTTTAAGCACTTGATTTTGTTGTGATGTGTAACAGTCAAAGGTGTACAGGTGTGAAGTTAAGATCAAAATGAAGGCAGAGTCTGAAGATGTGTGCGGTCCAAGCAAGGGAAGTAGGGAAGAGGCCATTGGCCCCCACAGTTTAAGCCTTTGGCCCAATTTGGCTTTGCGGCCAAAGTGATTCCAATCGCAAGATGGTCTCATTTATTTTTTATCTTTTAAAAAATAGAAATTGTCTTACATCACTGGAATTGGTGTGATTTGTTTCATCATAAAATTAAATAATTCTATACTTTGCTGACTTTAATTAGCTACCTTGTGCGAAACACTTGGTGTTTTGAAAAGTGCACTATGCTATATATTATTACTGATATTATTTTTAAAGGGAATAATAGGAATGAATGCCGACTCACCCGTGGATGTTAATGTTGACTCCATATTTGAGAGGAAGGAAGAGGCTGACGGAGTTGTCAAGGAGATACTCTTCCCTCTCATAGTTATCACTGAGGAGAAAACAGATTTAATACATTTTAATAACTTTATTTTACTGTGGATGATTTTATACTTTTACTCCTGTAAAGGGTTTGAAGGACTTTCTTCACCTGTGGAGAAGAGAGGTGGGGAAGTGTTCTTACCTGCTAATGTTGACGTGAATGGTGACGTCACCAGGTGTGCTGTTCTGGTTGACGTCCAATAGGAAGTTGATGTTCAACTGCAAGAAACAGGAAATGCGTCAGTGATTTTTAAGTGGACAGCTGCAGGATGATCAATAAACGTTTTCCTTCCTGTACTGTGGACTCTAATCTGGTGTATTTACTCCTTTTTCATCTTCTTCTTTAAGTTTAAACGTTTCACATCCACCTTAAAACTGCTGCTCAGTCTTTCTCTGGGGGGAACTCAAATATTTCAACAGCGTCTTTCACAACATTTACTCTGAGAAACAACTGCGACACAGGAAATACAGCAAATATCTGCTGACCAGAAAAACACTGGGGTACAAAAAGTACAGACACGCTGGATCTGACCGTTGATCCACAGGGAGTTTTGAGTTAGACGGGGCTGAGGATCATTTTAGCGAACTGTGTGGCTCTAAAGACGGCAATTTCAATCCAGGTGTGTGTGATTGGCTGAGGTTTACCTGGGCGTTGGCTGAGAGGAGGAGGCTGGTGACGCTGCAGTCAACACCTGCTGTTGTACTGTTGACTTCCTGTGTGACATCACAACTGACCACATTGTCCAGCTGCACACACACACACACACAGACAGTTTGTGCACTTTGTTTAATGAGATGTGAGTAATGAGTTTGTGTTGTGAGCAAGTTATAATTCTTTAGATTTCATGTTTTTGATTTTATTTATCGTTGGATTTTTTTTCAGCGACAGCCATTAATTGTGTGTTCATTCAGTAATTACCAGTAAAAATATAAACCATTCTGTCGAAAACTTGCAGCATGAAATCAGATCGAGGTGTCTCATTGTATGATGGGAAATGAGAAATTATTGGCTGACTTATTTATTAAAACAATGTGAGTTTGTTTGGCTGCATTGTAAACAGATATACCAGCTGCTCTTCTGTTGAGTGTTTGGTTATAAAACTACACCTGCTGTTACCAGCGGTAACCACAGGTGTCGCCAAATCAACCAGGATTTGAATCCTCAGGATTTTAACTTAAACTCACGTTCTGCAGGACTTTAATGTAGTGGATGTTGTCGGGGAAACGCAGCGTCAGTCTCGGCAGGAAGGCGTCGTCCCCATAGTTCAGCAGCGAGGTTTTCAACATGATCGTCTGTCCAGAGCCGAGGGCAAAGTACTGCTGCTGACTAACAACAAACAACAACGAGATAAACAACAACACCGATGTTCCAGTCAGACCGACATCAAAGCAAAGCTGCTGACTCATGACAACAACAAACACTAAGATTATGCAAAAGAAATGATTGTAACATTTTCCCTTATAGAATCATTTTCCCGATAAGGAAATGATAAACTTCGATGTATTGTTAAATTTCTTGACAATGTAACCATCAATCACATCACAGAGACAAAGGCTAACATTGCTAACAACAATACCAGGAGTATTTTTCAACAAAAATATTGACTTTAAGAAATAGGTTAAGATTTTGAAATAAGCTTATCTGCATTCTTTGACAAGAGTTTGATGAGAAGATCGGTAAGCACTCTCATATCTGCACACGTTAAATATGAAACTGCAGTCAGGAGCTGGTTAGCTTAGCTTAGCATGAAGGGGAAACAGCTAGCCTGGCAATAGTTTAAAAATATATCTACCAAAATCTTTACAGCTCACCAATTAACATGTTATATCACACACGGACAGACAAAGAAATGACTATTTGCTGTTTTGGTAGTATATTTTTTTATCTAAAGTAAGAGCCAGGTCAATGTTTATGCTAAGCTAGGTAAGCCACATCCTGACAACCGAGAACAAAAGCCAATGAGCATATTTTACACAAAAATGGTACATTAACCTGACAAACACATAAAAAACCAGAATGGTACAACCAGAAACAAAATCAAATCCCTGCTGCTGCTAAATGAATCCTCCAGAATTAGCCAGCATCTAATTAGCATCATGTGTTAGTTTATGACCAGAATAGCCTCCTGGCTGATATTTATGTGTTCTAATTGGACTAATAAAATACAATACTGCTGTCGTTTTAATCTGTTCATCTTTCCGTCACTTTATTTATAATTCACACACAACTTCCTGCTGTGTATGTGTGTGTATGTATGTATGTGTGTGTGTGTGTATGTTTGTGTGTGACTCTTCTTACTGTGGCAGCACTAGTTGAGCAGACAGCTGCATGTTGGTCGAGCAGTTGACCAGCGAACAGGAACGAGCAAACCAAGTCTGGCAGAGAAAAAGAAGCCGTGAGTTTATTGATGACGTCAATGATAATAATAATGAATGTCATAATTTTCCTCATTGATGACATTAAATCCTCTGAGCCCAGCCTTACAGATGATGACTAATGTGCTGATGAATAACTCCAGCTGCAAATTCCTACACGTTAACCCGTCCTGCTCAGTTTTTATGAGTCAGTGGGACATGATGCAGACTCAGGATGAGCTGACTGATGTTGGTTAATGAGCTGCAGCTGTAAACACATCTGGATTAGCAGGAAGTCATTTTCAGTTATGCACGTTTGTGCGCGCGCGTGTGTATTTGTGTGTCTGCGTGTGTGTGTGGTGGAGCCGAAATCAGATTAGCTGTTTCCTGCCCTTTAACACAGATCAGTTTGGTGAAGGATAGAACGATCTGACACGGAAGCTGTTCCAACACGAAACTGATGGCTTAGTTATCATTATTCTTTTTTACATACTATTCTTAATTTAGCGACAGCACAATGCACACAGTAGTAGTAGTAGTAGCAGTAGCGCATATGAGTAAATATAAGTCAACCCAAAAGTTAACTGTAGGCTAGTATTCATTTCTAGTTAATACTTGGTGTAACAAAGATTTAGGATAATTCAAAGAATTAATACTCAATTCTTAATTATTACAAAGAGTTACGAGTTTAAAAAGTCTAATTTGTCTAACTTTTTCCTGTGACAAATTAATATGGAGTGTTTCCTGAATGTATCTACAATGACAAATCATAATCACCTTGAGACCAAACTGATGAAATAATGAATCGAGAGATTTAGCTTCTAGGCTTGCTGAAAAAAAGTTAATGTAACCTGAACGTCTTTGAAAAAGAAAGAAAATATTGCTCTTTGCCAAGAATGAATTAACGCTACATCTAGACACCGCCACTTGCAACTCCCTTTGATAAGTGGCTAAATTGCTGGTGATAGCATTAGCCTGCACCTGGTTAAAGTTAGCACAAGCTGTAACTAGCTGGAGTTAGCACTGGTCGCTACCTGGTTGGTGATAGTGTTCTGGTGTCCTGCGTTCTGCTGCAGAATGGGTTTTAATGGAGGGAAGGTTTTGGAAGAGGCTCTGTGGGTGTTTGTTTCTCTGTGACTGTAAGAAACCTCAAACTTGATCGGAGTAAAAATGTCCTTCACATCTTTCTGTAGGAGAAACAAACAGGAACAGAGGAGGAATAAACAAAATTAGCATCCCCACAGCTAATCCAATCATGGTATTACGCCCAAATTAAAAGTATTAGCTGTATATGTATTTTGCTCAAGTGAATATGTGTTTTTTTACCCTTTGGTAAGCCACGTGTGTTGTACAAGTGAGCTGTCCATGTTGGGCTCTCACACGCCCCCTTGTGCTATTGGCTGACCCGTTGCCATGGAAATAGAAACGATGAGGGAAAGATGGTTTATGGAGGAGGTCAGAGGTCAAATTGTATTGAAGATCTGAAGAGAGAGGGAAACTCTTCAATATCAGTAGGTAAGTCATACACACTTATGTACAATATAATTGACCATTTCCTGAACCCCTCCCCCAAACAGCAACCGGCCAATCATAGCTACGCAACCGTAAGTAGGCGCAGCAGCCCTTTCTCTACATGATGTTGCTATAATAAGAGGGATACGCTGCATTTAAATACTTTGGAGGGTTGTGTGTATGTTTACAGTACCTATAGCTCCCCTGAACTGTCTGGACTTGACACTGAAGCAGACGGTAACATTGAAGCAGACAGTTGGAGTCTTGTGTTCTTGGCACAGCGCCACCCGCTGGTCAATCTGCTCGGGCAAAATCAGGGATCCCTTCACCTGAATCGCCGGACGGGTCCTACAGGACACATTCAGAGAAATTATTACAGCATAGTGACTGAAATGCAGTCATTTCATGTGGATTGAAAACAGTATGGATCTTATTATTTACAATCAGGAATCTGCTTCGACAAAATCTTGTTATTTAAAGCAAAGATTTCTTTCCACAATATGTTGGGAAGCTTTTGGATAAACAGGATGTCCTGCTTCCCCTGCAGTATAATTTCCTTCCAAATCAGCTAAAATAAGGAAGCTTCCTTCCTGTACACTTGTATGAAAGGAGACAGAACAGAAATTAGAGCTTTTCTAGGTCCTGTTTGAAAAGAACAGTCAGCTTTTACCTGAGAACCACGGCAGAGTCTGAGAGGAAAGCACCAACTGCCACATCTGCAGAGACGGAGAGTTTAATCTGGTTTAAATGTACAACATGACGGATGTTGTGACATAGGAAGTGGTTGTTTAGGTTACCTTGGTAGCCGTTATCGTCAATGTCAATGCCAGAGCTCAGAGACTGGCCGAACATCCTGAGGTTACGACCCAGAGTGGATCCAGTAATCCTCTGAAAACACACACACACACACACACAAACCACGTTAACAAAACAGAACAAGTTCATTCAAATTTCATCTTCGGACTCAGCAAAGTGAATCCTGGTTAAATTGAATATTCGTCATCATGAGAATCAAGTGAGAGGATAGTCTTACTGCCTGCCTTGCATAATCTTTAATGACATCAAACTTGGCACTCAGTTTGTAGAAACAAAAGGTGTATGTGTCCTGAATGAGCAGTGATGGTTTACACTTGTGTTTGCTCGAATACATTTCGGTTCCTAAACTTCTAGATCTACACTACTTTGCTCTGAGAATAATACTGATATCTTTTTATTGAATCAAACTATTCTATCTATTCTCTTTCTCCTTTCATTTGACTACACAGTTGTACACAGAGGTATCTAATCATTTTATAATTCATACAAAACACACAAGTTTCCCATCATACAACTGATAGGAATGAAACTATTAGCCAAGTTGTAATAAACTGCAATTATCTATTAAGTATATTAAAGTGTCTTGAAAAGGGATAAAATCAAATCATAAAATCCATTATAATTATATTTATTTATTTATTCATTGACGTATTCATTTTTTTTGTTAGCATTGTTATTATTAGCATTATTATTTGTACCTGAGATGGAGTTGGTGAGATGCCTTCCTCCCTGCCATTGTAAATGTAGACGGCTCCTTTTAGCTCGTCTTCCTGTGGGGCTCCAACCGCCACATCTGCACACACAGAGAAGTTCATGTTACTGCATTTGTGAGGACTATTGCTGTCTCCATTAGCTAACCCATCAGCCTAAACTTAATCTGGGGCTGGGCGGTATATTGATGTTATATTTGATTTTCTCCGTAGCCCCCAGCGTTACCTCAACCTTAAACCTACAAATTGATTCCTTTCCTTCCAGGTAGCCATTGCTTCATGTTGCTTTATCTACAAAACGTTCAGAGACTTGAAACCTGCTGCAGATGTCCTTAATTAATCCTCTGGGAGGTCAGGTCCAAATTTTCTGAGGTGGGTCTGTGAGATGTGAATAATATCTGAATGGTGCCCTTGAGTGTGTGACCAAATGCGTGTTTTAGCACCGTAGTTTTACTGGAATGTGCAGAGGCCTGTTGAATCGTGTTATTTGGGTTTTATGTTATTCTACCTGCTTTGTTGTCACATAAATAAGTTATATGTGATTGGTTCTTGTGAGTTTGTTCTTGTCATTGTGTTAATTACATTGATTTTGAGAATATGCATTGCCCGTTAATGACGAAGCATCCCGTCATGCTGACGTCATAATGAGGTTATTAGGAGGTGGTTCAACTGTAGTAGGACAGCACTGAAGGCCCAGGTATAAAACACATGGCCCGCCACTGGTAAAGGGTGTGTGTGGGCAAGGCCCTGTTGTAAAATGTTCAGCAGGATGAAAGTATCCAGGATTAGTACATAAACGTGAGAAAACAGCAGCATGGTCCTTTAATATTTAACCTGAGTCCACACACACACACACAAACACACAAACTTATCTAGCTGTGGCAGATTAGAAGGCAGGTTCAGTTACAGAGCGGCAACAGTTTGTCATTACAGTTTTAATGAACGTGGTTTAATGATGGTGGGGGGTCTATGTGTGTGTGTATGTGTGAGGGCGTTGTGTTAAAGTCAGTGATGTTAGTTATCAGGAAGTTGCAGTTACTGTTTTTGGTGGGTGGATGTGTACCCTTGGTAAGAATCGTAAAATATACAACAGTATGTGTTTTTGGTTGTTCAGTGCTGTAGCAGTCATCAAAGTATTGTAGTAGTATTAGTAGTATTGTTGGATAATTTCTGAGGCAGCAGATCTGGGTAGAAAATCAAAGAGCAGCTCCCTAATTACCATTGTTGAGGTGCCCTTGAGCAACGATGTGCACTCCCACCTGCTCCAGTGGAAATACTTAGTGGACAACTGAAGATAGTACTACTGCTACTACTGAAGCAGCTGAAGTGTTAGTAGTACAAGCTTTTAAAGTAATGCTAGGAGTAGTATCATAAATAATAGTAAGCAGTTTTGGAGTACTATTAGTAACATGTATGTTTGCAGTGGTGGTAGCAGGAGTAGCCTAGTATTATTATTACAGTAGTATTATGTAGTAGTAACAACAGAAAGAGGAGTATTTTCAGTAGTAGCATAGAGTAATTTTTAGCAGTATCAAAATAAGTAACGTATTTGTAGTAGTTTGTAGTACTAGCAGTTATTAGCAGTATCGGAAAGAGAAGTAGTATTTATTTATTTCTACTACTTATTAGTAGAATCATAATATTGCCAGTGTCAGTAGTAGAAGCAGTGTTGGAGTACTATTATCAGTACTATAGTTATGGTGTTTGCTGTGGTATTAGCAGAAGAAACATTTTGTTGTATAGCAGTAGTCCATAAGTTGTAAGTAGTATCTGCAGTAGCAGAAGTAGTTGCTGTGGTAGTAGAAGCAGTATTAATAGTATCAGACATAGTAGAAGATGTAGTACATTGCAGTACTGTTAACAGTGGCAATAGTTTTAGTATTTGTAATGGTCTTAGCAGCTGTAGTATTAGTACTGTGGTGTATACTTGAAATGGTTCCACCAAAATAAAAGCAGACAGGTCAGGCTGTGCAGGAGTGCTCATTACCGCGGAAACCGTCGTCGTCCAAGTCTCCCAGGTCGGCGATGGTCTCTCCAAACCGGGCGGCGTAGGCATCGCTGCCAGTCAGCTGAAACTCCGCCTCCAACAGCTTCGCCTGAGACAGAGTCAGTTTGTGAGGAAACAGACGACACAAACCGTGTCTCAAAAGGTCTATTTCACAAAAGTAATAGATTACTATGTAGCATGGAACACAATAACCTGAGCCTGATGTCAGGGGTCAGATAAATACTAGGATTTGTGTTGAAGTGTGTGCTCACATTGCCCTGGTTGATGTACACATGGACTCTTCCCTCCTCCCTAGTGACGCCTGTTGCCATGGGAGCGCCGACCAGCAGATCTGACAAACCATCAGCGTTCAGATCCACGGCACACACGCTGGAGCCGAAGTAAGATCCCAGCTGCGAAACAAACGCACACAAGCCAAGTACTAAGTATACCATTGTTTTGAGTGGAGGATGCTAACGCTAAGTGGCTTCTCACCTCTTTTCCGTAGACCTCGGAGACGACTCGCAGCATGTTGCTGTCAATAGTGAAGATGAAGACCTGCACAGCACAAAGACACACACTGACTTCAACCATCACAAGTTCATAACACTACACAATATCAACACTTCACAACACCATCAAGAGGAAGTAGTAACAAGACCGACTGTCTTGAAGTTGCACACACAACCAACATTCAGACTTTCAGTGCAGTCAGTAAACAGACAGGTAGATGGGTACACAGGCACAGTGGGTCTCACCCATGGACTGTATATAAGGTCTCACCTTGCCCTTCTGGTTGTATTGCGGAGCTCCACCCACCACCTCCACAGTAACAGTACTCAAAAAAGGACCGGCTCCGACAGCGTAACCTGAACAACAGCAGGACACAGTGTCACATGTTGAGACTTTTGCAGTGGTGGAAAGTACCCAAGTTCATTGAAAGATGATACTACTTGATTCCCAAACTGTTGGGTTGGTGGCCCTTATCAAATGTGAGCACACGGTAATAACCGAAGGCGATCCAAATGAATCAATGAATCATCTGCACTTAATCATTATTAGAGTATATCAGGCTGAAAATGTGAAACTAAGATTTGAAAGGTAAAAGTGAAACTCTTGGTTGAATAAAAAGTTTTTGGTTTGGGTTAGGGTTTGACACAGTGGTTATGGTTGAAAATGAATTTTAGTCTATGCAATACGCAAAGAGAACATCCGTCTTCCGTCTTTGGTGTCAACCGCTACTTCCTGTTTATTTGTGCTGATCAGCGAGTTCAACTGCTGTGCACACACTCCTAACTGAAGACAACACACACTCATCAGTCTTACTATTAACGACAGTCTTTTCTGACACGGTGAGAACAGTGAAGATGTTTACAGAGAAGAGAAACAGCCTTCATCTGAAGAACATCACACCTTTCTGTTCAGCTTCCTGTTGAGTGAGCATCACACGACATGGTTTTGTTTTTGTCTTGCTGCAGATAATTCATTTCGTAATTTATCATGTAATCCTGATTTTTTGAATCAGGATTAAAGAAACTTGGCTCTTGGTTATATATGCACATGACTTTTTACATGCAAGGTTTCGCAGGGTTCACCAAGTTAAATGTAAGTTTTTTTTAAAACACAGAGAATGCAATTTAATACAGGTTTTACCTGGCAATATGGGACCAATTATTTATCAACATCATTTTTTTTATTACTTCCTAGCGGTATATAAAAATAATTTTCTTATGGTATAATTAATTACATTAAAGTGATCTGTAGCTGGATTAGAAGCAGAAAAGGCTGAATGGATTAACCAATTGAAAATGATGAATTCATTCAAGTTTTGATTAAAATTTAAACTTCACACTAGAGCTTCCTAGCACCTGTAGCACAGGGCAACGCGGCATGGTGTAAGCTGTTTACCATCATGATGTCTTCATTTAGGAAGCCCACTGTGGCTGCTTCTTCTTGTATTATTCCTCCCTGCAATGTTTAAAACTGCTCTGCCGACCAAATGGTGCAGAACACATGCTTATCTTGTAGTAGATCACTTTTTACCAAACAACAGCACCGCTATCAGAGACCCGCTTAATCCTGATGATAAATACCTGCCTTTCTTACAGTGATTCACAATAAAAGCCTCCCAGCGGTTCGCCAGTGAACACTTTGAATGTGAAGCAAAATAAATATTTGGTTTGTATAAGATGTAACTTAAGGTTATTTTTTTGACCGACATCAGCACTGCATGATGAAGTCTCCGCATACTATTCAAATATTAAAGGATTTAAAATGTGGGAGGACAGAAAACACTCTTCCTTCTGTGATACCCTTAAACCTTTCCAGCAATAACGTTGCTTCCTCTCATGCGCCAGGTGCCAAATATCTGAATACTAACTGAATGGCAACTGTCTCATGCAACTAGGTTTTATGCAGCTGAACACTATCACGCAGTCTACAGGCAGCGCATCATCAGAGTCCTCTGTGAGTAGTGTTGTCAGCACACAGGAGGCTTTCAGCTACACGACTGCTGTGGGCTTAGTGGCGTTTTGGCAGCATTCAGAGCCGAGTACACAATCACTGTAGTTATGTGCCTAAGTGTGGAGAAAATAGACAAGACTAAAAAGTCTGTGTAGATATTCTGTGTAGAATCAATTAAATCACATGAGACGGACTTGTTCAAAACAAAACTCATCCTGTTTAGACTGGGAGTCAGAGTTTATCTGTGTTTTAGTAGCTGCAACGGACTGATACGTCTCACCTTTTTGGGGATAAAAAAAAGAAAGAAGGTAGAAGGTAGGTAGGAACAATAGCACCAGCAGTAGCATAGTTCTGTGGCTGTGGTACTGTAGCAGTGACTACAGTAGGTACAGAGGTGTACAGTAGCAGGTGTATCTGTTACCTAGGTAGCTTCCAAAGCTGACGGCTCCAGCGTCGTCGTCCAGGTACACCGACATCCCCCCGCTGGACGTGTTAAAGACCAGAACTGAACCCGTCCAGTAAGACGTCCCCGGGGCCCCCATGATGATCAGATCCTGAGAAAGACACAGGCATGATATAATGTGACATACATTTCTTAAAAAAGCTCTATCATATCTTGGTAATACACGTGACATTTCTCTAAATATCTGTAACATCTGTTGCTTAAGAATGGGAGTTGTGACGTTTCGTTTTTTGTCACAGGAAGTCTTTGTTCTCTTTTAAAAAACTGCTACATTTCAACAGAATGAGGAGGAACAATGAGAGAGCACATAGTTTACAGATTAAAAAACAACATCATGTACGTCTGAAGTTTTACAGAAGATGGATCACATTCAGTGGAAACTGTGAAAACAAAGAGGATTTTAAAGGAGCTTACTGACCTCTGTCAGGAAGTTGGAAATGCCGGCCTGACACGACCCATAATCCTCACCGAACTTCCTCTGGTGGTCTGTAAGAGATGAACAGACATGCCGAGGGGTGAAGGTGAACAAATAAATAAGGAGATAAAACCCAAATGTTTTCCTTCTGCAGCTGAACAGCTGCTGCGTTCACACACACACACAGACACACACGAAAGAAGTGAGGTCCAGACATAATCTCAAAATCCAAAACGTGTCTCCATCAAACTGCAGAGGGGTCTCTGTTAGTCACAATGCATTTGAAAAGTGGCAATAATCATCATTGTTATAAAACCAAACACTGTTAAGTGCTCGTGTACCTCTGTAGCAGGGAATGATGGGCTGGGCGTGCCTCAGGTCATTTCCGTAGCGATAACAGACTCCGTTAGGCAGCTTGTGGTTCTGGCCGTCTTTCTTTGAGTAGAAGACGTTCTTCCAGCGGTGAGCACATGCCTGCACACACACACACACACACACACACACACACACACACACACACACACACACACACAGAGCATACAAATGCCATGTGACACAAACTCATTACTGACAATAACACAATCACAAGTTAGCAGTTGAGTGTAGTTATTCTCATGACCCATGTCATTGTGAGAGACGTTTGTGTATTTGTTTGTGTGTGTGTGTGTGTGTGTATATCGACCATTATCAGCCCATTCATCAGCCTATTTTAAACCTGAAGGGAAGCCGTTATTCTTTCAGTCACTGTCTAAATGTAAAGCCTCTTTCACAAATAGCCTGAAAGGAGGTTTTCAAACAGAGCTTTGTGTTGTGTAAATGTTCCATGATGGCTTTATTCACACTTGACAGGATGGGTGTAGAGCTACAGATTCGCTGTGTCACTGCTGGAGAACAGAGATGAATCCTATTTTTTTTTTGTGCAAGGCAATATAAATTACACTGATGCTGCCATTAATGTGCATCATTTTCTGTTTTTCATCAGAGAATAAAATCATTTAGGACACGTTTTTGGAAACAGCGTCCAGGCCTCGAGGCTCTCACATATATTTTTTGTCTCAGGACAATTTGAGGCAAGGCATTTGGTAAAGAAGGTGTTACCAGGATATGTCCTCCGTTGACTCCAGGTTGTCTGGACAGACTGACTCCCAGCCACTGGTGATCACTCTCTGCATCACACGTCTTCCCACATTTCAGAACGTCTGCAAACACACACACACACACACACACACACACACACACACACACACACAAATGAATTCAACAGTTTCATACATGCAGCCTTCACGGGTGATTAATTGGTGTTTCACTGTTAAAGGCCACATCTGACCAGCTGATAGTGTTAACATGGTAGACATCTGAGTCCTATACTGTGTTTAGTCATGTTCAGACTGGTTCTCAGTGTGTCTGTTTAAGACTTAACAGCACACACACACAGACAGAAACACACCAGCGTGCATTGGGTGGCAGCGGCGGGACTCAGCGGTGATGTTGCAGCGGTAAATGGCTCCGGGAGATCGAACCGACGGGCTGGAAGATGAGTTTGCCACGGGGGCTCCAACCACCAACCTGAGAGAGAGAGAGACAGACCGAGAGACAGTTAGACAGGATCTGTCTTTGTGTCTGCTCAGTGTCTGAATGGCATCTGTGTGTGAAGCATCAAAGAGCGTCTCTCATTGACAAGGACTGGCTAATTAGCATGCACACACCAACACACGCAGACACAGCCCTTCTGTGAGGATGACAGCTAATAGAGCATCATTAACACAATCAAATGGATCTAAATTTACTGATCTCTAGCAGATCAACAGAGGGTTAACAGCAGATCAATATAGGGCCAATGGCACGTCAAACGAGGATCAACAAGCAGATCAACAGAGGATCAACAGAAGACCAATAGAGGATTAACAAACTGAATAGATGATGAACAAAGGATCAATAGTAGATCAAAATAAGTTCAAGGGTAGATCAATACCAGCTATGGGCTCCATGGCGATGCAGCAGGACTGAGTATCCAAACATGGATGAGGAGGGGCCGCTGAACTCCAGACTGTGGTCCTGATCCAGACTGTACCCTGCTGCAGGATGGACCAGGATCAGGACCAGGACCTGAACCAGGACCAGGCTGCAGCGCACACACATGCTGCCCGCTGAGGGATGCATGATGGACGACAGACTGCAGGGACACCAGAGAGACACAAATCAGTAATCAATACACATGAGATCAGAACAAACTTCGGATCTTTACTTCTCCATCTTTACAAACTCATCATCTGTTTACTCACATAACTTTATCTAAATGTTAGTGATGATCTTAAAGTTCCTAAATGTACCAAATATGTCAGACTAAATATACTAAAATAAAATAAAATATCTGTCTGATGGAACGTTGCAAAGTCTCATGTTTTAATATTTCCCTCAGTAGCTTCAGCCAGTATGGTTAACCTAGCTTAGCATAAAGACTGAAAGCTAGCGTGGCTCTGTCCAAAAGTAACAAAATCTACTGATCAGCACTTCTAAAGCTCACTAATTAAATGGCGACTTCTGTATTTTTCAACCTGGACCCTATTTGCGCATGTTTTGTGTCAAGTTTTGTAATTGGACCAATAGAGAGGGAGGACGCACAGCCACTTTGTGGGCTGCAATGCGCGGCTGTTTGTTCTTGTGTCATGTGACCTGTAGCCGGAAGGTGGAAACGCAGTGTCGGGAAGTTCATTGTGTTGTAGTACAAAAAGCGTAGCTTAGTGTCGTCGAACATATTTTCATTGTCATGGCTGAATTTTGAGCTGATTCCACTTGTTTAGACACAATAATAAACAGACCAGATCAAGTGAAAGGTAAATAAAAACATATGATTTCTCTGTTGGGTTTCTATAACGTTGTCAGGCTTTTATATTAACAATCTGAGAACAAGCACTTTTAATGGAAGCACATTGACGTTGATGGAGTTGCACCGAGTGATTACACTGTAGCCCGTTTAGGCCTACTGCAGCTTTACCTCAAAACTGGACCCATTTCAAAAACTGTCGTTTACATTAATCACTTAAACACAAAAACATGGGAAAATAAGGTCCTGGTTGAGAAGTTACCCTTCAACATGTTTGTTTATTCTATAAAAAAACAACAATAAAAATAATTAAATCAGACAGAATCAGTCGGAGGAACACATTTTGGCAGAGGTCCCCCAAACTTCTTGGTCCGGCCGTGTCAACGGAAATCTTCTTAACTATATTTGTAATTAATAAAAGTTTGATATCAGGACTTGAAACTGAGCATGTTTACGCTGTGGTTCTCTTACTGAGCAAAAATGTCCTTCCTTACTCTTATTATAAGGCTATATTTACAGATTCATATTGATTAATCAATGACAGTTCTGAATCTAAAATGTCTATAAAGAAACAGTAAATGTATAAACCTTTCTTAATCTGACCAACAGTCCATAAATACAACATTTAGAATAAATAGTTTTAAAAGGAGAGAATGTTTGTTTTTATGGCTGAAAACGTTTCTTCATCAACTCTGTCAGTCACTAATTTTCTGCCCGAGCACTAATTTATTAACCGACTACCGGTCATCGTTTCGTGTAACTAACGGGGAATTTACTGTACCGTTAGCAGATATCCCGGGTCAGACTGTGGGTCCGGTGGGCAGATGTTGAATCAGTGGGCCACCTCCAGACAGCAGATGTTAAACCTGAACCAGTGTGTTCCAAAAAGTCTCCGTTAAATCCTTCTCGTTTCGGGTCGTGACACGCTCGTGGAAACCTCCTGTTGCTCCTCGGACCGTTAACCGTCTCGTGCGTGAAACCGGGCTGGAGGAGCGCACCAGGCTCTGGGATTGCGTGACAAGACAGACAAAAAGTGAAGCTGGGTGGAAGAAAGCTGAAGAGGAAAACCTCAAACTAGAGTTCATTTGAGTTTTAGATGAAGTCAATGAAACTGAGAAGTGAGCGCGCGGAGAACCTCCCTCCGTCCCTCCGTGCGCGCGAGTGTATTGTGTGTGCGTGTCTGTGCGTGTGTGTAACGGTGTTTCCTCTCCACCCGCGCAATGTCCGTTTAAGCGCGCGAGAGTGTGCACGCGGCTCTGTGTGTGTGTGTGTGTGTGTGTGTGTGTTCGGGGTGTTTCCTCTTCAGTTATCACTACAGTGTGAATGGAGTCAGCGTGGCTCTAATCTGATTTCTACTGTCTGAACGCTGAAACACAGAATACCCTCCTCAAATATACAACTTTAGAAACAACAATTAAGCAAACAAATGGCGTCATGAATATCAATCGGAATATGTTGGTCAGAGCTTGTGCAGATGTTACAGATGTGACAATAGAACACAGTGGTGGAATGCCTATTGTAGGCTGCATATCATTTCCATGTACTCACTGCATTTGGGAGGGAAATATTTTAGCCTACTCTTTACTGCACCACAGGTATTTGATAACTTAAGTCACTTTGCAGTCTCAGATAGAATAATCAACCGATAAATCATGATATATTATTATAGGTTAAGCTACTACTAAATCAGCCCCACCTTCACCAGCTGCAACATATAAGTAATGTAGCATAATGTGTGTTTTTGATTCTGTTTTTTTTTTTTGGTGTGTATTTGTGACTTTTGTTTTTGTTTCTGTTGGACACTATTGTTTATTGTTTCATAGTGATTTCACTTCTTTTGTCATCCTTACATTTGGCTCAATAATATCCCCCAGTAATGTAATATATACGATCCTAAAATAGGCACAAAAAAGTAGCCTTCTATTACTTTTGGTACTTTTTGAAGCTCACACTTTTACTTTGTAAAATGTTGAATGCAGGACTTCTAACTTCTAACAAAGTATGTCCACAATGTTGCTACTTTTACCAAAAATATTCTCGTAAAAGATCTGAGCAGGAGGACACTAAACAGTTTTTAAAAGCGTACTTAAAGTGCACTTAAAGTTGATTTACATTCACTGTGACGTCACGGCTGTCATGTGATCTGTAATCCTGCTCAGTTGAAGTGACGCTCCTTGTAGTACAAGATGTAATTATCGCGGTGTTCAGTGCAACATTAGCATTGCGTAAAACAGCGGGATTCCTGATGCAGAGGGCTGTGTAAAAAACAAACAAACTCATTCACTGTGTAACTAGGTATGTAAGCTTATACATCCTCATCATTTTGCATCAACACTCTTTTTTATTCCACACAGAATTTTCACACTCAAATCAAATAAATATATACACATACAGTAAATAGGGAGTGATTATAACTACTCTAGCAGCTCCGTGAGGCTGTAGGGCCTACTTAGACACAGCAATGCTTTAGCTAAATGCTAATGTCAGCGTGCTAACATGCTCAGAGTATTTACCATGTTGACCATTTTAGTTTTTACATTGGCTAATGAGCATAAAAACACAAAGGCTGCAGCTAAGGATGATAGGAATGTCATTAGATTTGCAGTATTTAATTATAAACCAAAGTAGGGCAAAGCGTTAGATCATCAGAGTCAAAAGGATTCATCCTCTGGGGAACAAGAATGTCTGTACCTTAACTTCATGGCATCTAATAGTTGTGGACACATGTCACTCTGAACCACAGATATCAAGCTCATGATGGCTCCTCTTGAAAAGTCAGAGGACCAATCGAGTCATTAGGACACATCGCCTGTGAACCATAAGTATATGTCAAACAATCGATTGGATATTATGATATTTCATAGAATAAATTTTGACCTGAGTGTAGAAGAAAAGTCAGGCAGTCATTATAGGCTTCATCCTCTGGGGATCATGATCGTCCGTACAAAGTTTCACAGCAAAGAAAGATGGTGAACATGTTTAACATTATATAATAAAAAGCATTGCCAATGTGTTAGAATGCCAGAGTTAGCATTTAGCTCTAAGCACCACTGTGCCCAAATACAGCCTCATCGACTGTCTGTGGTACAGCCTCACAGAGCTGCTAGCATGTCTGTAGACCGTCAGTCTTGCTACTTTGTCTGTTGTTACCTAGATGACAAAAAAATCCTAAAAAACGTCAGCAGTAAAAGAAGAGGAGACATAATTATATAATAAAAGAAGAAAAAGTAGTCCAGTGGTGAATACATCCTATATCTATCATATCAGTTCTTCTGTGTTGGTAGTTAGTGTGACGACCCGGGTTGTGACATTAGTCAGGTAGTCAACTGATCCCGCCATTATTCTGTAGAATTTATTTTTAGGGAATATTTACACAGAACTACTTTGTGTGATCCAAACTGTTTTATTCAGTTACTGTTACTGCAGTAAACAATGACTTTATAAGTAATTTAAATCGGTGAGCAGCTGGTGTTAACTGTGTTCAAATGAAGAGTATTTGTCCTGAAACATTCGCTGATGAACTCTAACAGCTCTGTGATTCATCCAGGCCTCCAACCACAACCGGCCATCAATAAATAAACCAGATCGAGGGACACGAAGAAAATAAATGAGGGAGAGCATTTTTCAAACGTTCAAACTATTTCAAGTTTATTTACAGTATCTGTACGACTTTTCACAGAAAGTCATCAGTGCAAAAGATATATAAATATAAATAGCCCCAGACAAAAAGACAGTTGTGGAGTAGACTGTTTGCGTGAATGGCGGACAGGAACTCAAACACAAACACACACATATACACGTCCACTCAGTTTGTTTGTTGGTATTTCCTGTTAATGACCCTGCAGTTATTATGCTGGAATCTGACCAGCTACTGTTCCCACCCTCCCCCACACTCTGAGACCCCTTATGTTAAAAAACGGGAAAGTGGAAAAAACGTTTCCTCCATGTTTTGAAAGGTGTTTGTTGTCACTATGCAGTGCCCGTTTGGCCGAATGCTGGGTGTTGCTGCTTGCAGCTTTCTCGAGAACCTCTCATCCAAGCACCTTCACAGTCAACACTGCTCTCCCCTAGGTCCTCAGCAATACACCTGCCATGTGTGAAGTCGATCAGGTGAACGGTTGTCGAGAAAAGCGAGTGGACAAAATGTGGCTGTTTTCTTTTATACTCATACTGATTTTGGGTATATATAAAAAAAATCTAAGAATTAAACAAAAACGTGTTCCTCACACACCAACTCTTAAAACTTGAAATAAAACCAAAGGTACGTTTTTGCTGAGATGAAAACTGTTGTCAGCAGACTTTATCAGCTGTAGCTGTGCTGTACACACACATACTGGCTGCCTTAAGTGTTCCTGCCAGCACTGATTGCATCCCTTTTGCCGTGAGCAGGTTCCACTGAGGTCACTGTGAACCTCCGCACAGCCAGCAATCGGGAGGTCAGAGGTCACGGCAGACAGTCAAGGGACGGGAGGACAGAAGATGTGAAGCAGATAAAAACATGTGAACTCCCATTCCTGTTTCTGTGCTTTTCCACTCTAAAAGGATTGAAAGCGCACTGCCAGTAAGACCAGTTATTATATACAGTATACACAATTAGGTGCATATAAAGCAGTTGTCAGTCATGCAGTGCTACATGAGTGGCTGTTTGTTTCAGATTCAGCAAACAGCTTCACCACTTCCTCCGTTCTGTTTCATTTCCTTCGCTTTTTTTTTTCTCACAGTCCCAGTTCAAATTTGATCTCAGTTTCAACTCTATACGTCCAGACTGAAACAACATTTTTTCCCAACAAAACTGAACTTTTTTAACCATTTCAACAGTGTATAGATCTTAAACCTCTGGCTTGGCATTTCAGTGTGTTCAGGGTAAAAACTGGGCTTCTCCAAAACAAAGAGGGAAGTTGTCCAATGAGGGTTAAGAGTTAGGGAATTTAAACGTCATTATAGCCAAATACACACCACAGCTGCTGTCATTTACCTGAATTCATATGACTTTGTCACCACAGTGCATCAGCCCGCATTGACAGCTGGTTATGAGCCACAATTACTACTCAGTAATAAATACTATTTCATACTCGTTCTACTATAAAACATGTGTAAACGACAACTGACTTCTGGATGAGCTGGAGGACACAGAGGTGTTTCTGTTATTTAGTGGACGCTCATTGATATAAATGGAGGTGGGCAAAGTAATTGAAACACCTGTCAGTAAAACTCAATTCGGTTCACAACAAACTACATGCTCCAACATGACAATACAGTTTAAAAAGCACTGAACATTGTAACCTTAATGAAGGGAAGAATTGCAGGACTGTTGTATTATTACTAAATCCCCTTGACTTAAATTTGTGACATTAGGCTATAAATAAAATTGACTTGACTATTTGGCTGCATTGGTTTTAGCTAGGTGTACCTAATAAACTGGCAACTGTGTAAGTGCATCCTGTCAGCTGGTCTTTGACTGGAATCGAGGCATTTGATCAGTCAGTCTTTATTCAGACCAGGGGGAATAAAACCTAAAAACTATTGTTACTAAGTGTTGTCTTTTCTTTCAAAAAGAGTCAGCTTTTTTCAGTTTTACAGTTTCCTAAAACACAGATGTGTTAGTTTTTATAGACGTAGAGGAGTGACCCTAGCGACACCCAGAAAACAAGTTTCTCAATATACAGTATTCCAGCAGTTATTAAATTCTATGAAACCATTTCACAATGTTGGTGCAGTCGTCATGACAACGGAAACACAAACACAGTTTGTCAACGACAACATCTGCAGTGACGTGATACTGAAACTAAAATCTAGAGAAACAACAGAAATTACCTCAAAATGCCATGTTCAACCCATTAAGTTAAATACTTTTACAAGCAGGAAGTAATTAATGGAAACTTTATCTTGTATTATTTTAGTTTTTAAGTTCATTTAATTTAGTATAGTTCTTCAATAGAATTTAGAAGTTAAGTTACTTTTGTTTAGATGTTTTTAGATTAGATTACTTTAGTTTTCAAGTTTCAATTTAGATCTTTGGTTTATTTTGATGTGGAAACAAATAATCCCTACTAAACAATAAAGCAAATGGAAAGCATTAAACCAAAAATGTAAAAATAACAAATGCATCAATTCTGTAAAAGCAAGTGACAAAAAGCAGATACATTTGAGGCAGCAACGAAT